CTGCTTAAGTTAAAGCTAAAATTTTTTTCCGTTTTCGCTCTCTATGAAAGCTGAGACATTTGGGATGTAGGCCGTGGTAGCAAATGCTAAAAGAAACTACCCATTGGCAAGCTATGAATGGCTCATTCTTTCAAAGGTTGCTTAGAAGTAAGATAATGGCAGGTTTGACTCCCCGGCATTTGCTAGTACCGATTTACCAGCGAAAGAATTAACGGATCTTACAGGAATTGGGTGTTTCGCAGAGTAGTCAAATCTCGATCTACTGCATGGTAACACTGTTATTTTCCGTTGCCCCACTGCTTGCCGACTGAAATTTTTCATGAAATTTACACATTCAGACCCCCATACTCAGCATATTATGACTATGCAAATTTTGTCCGTTTCAAAAGGTATAAAAATGCGAGAAAGTATATTCGTTTAACATTGTTAGGAAGGTTCACGGTGTAACGGGCACTGTGGATAATTGAAGGCGAAACGGTGCCAATGGAACGGTCTGTTGTTGCGCGGCGTGTTCACGGACCAGGTAAAGGGAGGAACGTGGAGATTACGTTCGGTGAAGAGCGGCTTCATGCGAGTGGCGTTTTTTCTAATGTTTACTCGGCAAAACTGTACCGACCGGCTGAAATGGAAATTGCAATTAAGAAGACCTGGCCAGTAAAGAATGAAAAGTCAACGGTAAATCCGGAAATTTACTATCTTTCACGGATGAAGCATCCATCGATCAACAACCTGCTCTACTATTTCACGCTAACCTCCAATAGCGAGGTGTGCCACTGCATGGTTTTCGACTATTTACCCAGCGATATGGCAAAGTTGCGAAAAGACAAAATGGGACGGCGTCTTCCGCTTCTGGATGCAAAACTGTACGCATTCCAAATGTTCTGTGCCATCGATTACGTGAATGCAATGGGAATCGCACACCGGGATGTGAAACCGTCTAATATGATCGTGAACGATGAGGCCGGCATTCTCAAACTGGCCGATTTTGGCAATGCGAAACTGCTGAGAAGCACGGAAGAAAATACACCATATCAGGTCAGAGCCAAGGCAATTTTGTTTTCTGGGTCAAGGCACAAAGTGACATGGAGCCACAGGCAATTTTTTGCTGATTCGTATGGTTCCATGTAACCACGTCAAGAAATCTGACTCTTCACCAGATAAGCGGCACGCAGTGTGTTGTGTATACCAGTGAAAAGCTGGAAAGAATTGGGAATTGTTCACTGCTAGTACAAATAGACATTGCCTAGATATAAGCGCTTCAATTGTTGTTGTAAAGCAAAAGGACTGGTAGCGTAATGGGTAATACGTCACGATTCGAAGAAACAAAAAAATAAAAATGAGACAATCACTTCTCTTCCAATCGAATCCCTCTGCAAAACAGGCTCGGTCCCTAATAAATAGAGTGTAACTGCGACTGCGTGAAAATGTAAGTGTAATAGACAAAACATGTTGCTCCTTACATTGTTAACAGGTGGACGTAGGGTATTAGTGAGTGGTATTCAGAGAAACTTTCTCTCTACGCTGTAGTATTATGATGGGTGCTCAGTAAAGGCAGACGCAGCACGTGATTGCGTTCAAACAACACTAGTAACGTCGCTTCTTCACACAGACCACTCGGATGGCCTCAACAGTCTTGCAATCCTCAATTGTCATTAACTAATTGGTTTTTTCAGGTTACGCGCTATTATCGAGCGCCGGAGCTTATCTTCGGTTCCACACGTTACACCACAGCAGTGGACATTTGGGCCTGCGGTTGTGTGCTGTCTGAATTTGTCACCGGGAAAGTGTTACTCCAAGGTCGTGACCGTGAAGATCAGGCTCGGCTCGTCATTGACATATTTGGCTACCCGACCACCGAACAGTGTCAGGCCATGAAAGTGAAAAAGCCCCGCTATGCGCGAAAACGTGCACGCGGTTTACGTGTGGCACTGGAGGGCTGTAAGGCGCCGGCCGATTTGTTGAACTTGCTAAGCGCAATTCTAGTGTATGAGCCAAACATGAGATTAAAAGGTGCTGGGGTTATTGGGCATTCATTTTTCAATGAGCTACGTCAAGTTCCAGCGCCAGTACGTGAAAACGGACGAGTTATACCACCACTTGATTACACAGTTTATCAGCAAAGTACTCAAAAAACCGAACCTGATACATCAGATGATAGTGAAGACGAAGACGATTAAGGTGGCCCAGCTGACTAAGAAATGATGTTGCTGCTATCACTGTTATATATTAGTATTTGAAGTATTTGACAAAATCAGCAGCGGTGAATTCAGGCAACGCGCTGAAGTTTTTGATTCGCAATAAACTGAAATTAGCGCTGGTAGCTGAGTTAGTGGTTGATTTCATATGTAGCTGGGCTTAGCAAAAGTTTTAGAAAAACTTCTCTTGTCCACATACCCACCACATACCCACTAAAGCAAATTCTTCTGCATCACTAGTGATCTCTTTGTCGTGAACGTTGATCGAATTGCTATTATAATTCCAAAAACTGTTCCAATCCGGATTTTATAAAAATAAATTATAACCGGCGGAATACACGCAATAACAATATAGTTGTTAGCTGCGATGCGTGAACTCATCGTCAACTAGCTTAAGCACTAGCATTGACTCGTCGTTACTAGCCCAAATAACGCATTGGTGTAGGATTGTTCAGATACCTTCAAATATGGACAGTAATCAGTATATGATAATAGCATTTTAAATAATAAATTGGTAAAATGATATCACTGGGTAAAATTTTTTACAATTTAATATAATATAGTGTCATGATATGGGGTGGAACCAGGCCACAGTGATGGAAAACATACTGGCAGGCCCCAAAAACTACCTAGAGTTTCTCTTAGTCGTCTGCACGTTAATATGAATGCACTTACTTGCTGATGATGAAGAATCGTAATAGAATCGCGCTCCGACTAAAAGACTGTTGTACTGCCGCCGTTCTAGTCGCCCAGATGAATACAGACCGGCCAAATTGTTTGCTTACGTCATTTTATACTGCCTATCCGATGAGCCCACTCGTTACTTCTCATAGCGGCCTGATTTATCATGCCTTGTCTGCTAGCGTTTAATATGCCGACAGTAGTGCTGCCAGACGTTTAGCGGAGACAACTAACAAACATTCTAAGCTACTTACAAAACGCGAGGTAGGGACAAAGCGATTAATTTTCCCTTTTTGCAACATTCAAGTGCATTTGGGCTTAATTCACCCAGGTTTTAAATTGTTGGAGAAGCGCACTGGGCAGGCCTGAATGATTATGCGCTTTGCAGTATTTCATGTTATAGTATGTGGGCTAGGAACATCCGATTAAAATTTTAACCTTACTGTTCTTCTGGTTACCTAGTTAGCGGTTTTTTCGCCAAAAATTTAATGGAGCCGTATATGAAAGTCACACACACCTTAGAGCTGAACATGAAGTTTTCAAGCATGTGGACGGGGAATATCCCTCAAAATTTCAGCTTTCTAGCCTTTCTGCTTCCCGAGTTAGCGATTTTCTCGCCAAAACTTTCACGTGCCCGTGAGCGAAGCCCAAACGTGCATGAAGGGTGACATTTGGTCGGAAAACCCACTGGCAAAAATTTCAGCGCCGGAGCCTGCTTGGTTGCTGAGTTGAAATACCCGGATAGACTTACACACACACACACACACACACACACACACACACACACACGCACACA